TAAGGAGGATGTGGCAATACCTCCTGGCCAAGTGGCTGTAATGTGCACGTAGTGCGGTGAGCAGTATGAGCTTGTGCATTTTCCTGGAGAAACAGGACGCCCTTAGTGATCAACCAAGCTGTTTGTTTTTCCCACTGACTTGCATGTACATCACTCAGAACATGACAGTAATACTTACTGTTGATAGTGGCACCACAGGGTAGAAAAACACCACCATGGCTGGGATTGTCACTGACGGATGTACGGCCATCTTTGAAATGTTTGCACCATTTCTTACTGCGGCTGAGTGTCCCATCTCCGTACTGTGCTTGAAGTCTTTTGTGGATGTTCAATGCACGCACTAACACTGTCGTTTGCCATCTTGATTAACGGTCTCTGGACTGTGTGAAGGCAGAAGGTCATGCCACCATGGGTTATTGTGGTCTTAAAAAAAGTATATGTATGGGAACAATATAAATAACCATGACAGGAAGGGAAGGGTATATGGGGGGATGTAGCATGATATCCTCCCTGATTATCATCTAGTCAGAGCCAAGCTGGGAAGGTCCCTTTGGTGTAGAGTAAAATTGAAGAAGAATTCATGGAAATCTTGGACCACAGTCCAAGGGACCCAGACTTTTAGAAAGGTTTCCTGGATGTTTGTTTCAACAGCCAAGAGGTGCTCCATGCTATTTACTTTCTGTGGTCTAGGAGGGTAAGTGTCTCTTGAGAGTGCCTGTGATGCTGAATCACTGTTCAAGCTGCAATAATAAAGTTTCTAAAGGTGCCATTTTTGTCTTTCTTGATGGGATCCAGTAATAATAGGAATATTACAATTTGGGAAATGTTGGGAGACCGTGATTCCGGTGGTCTTTGTATAGATCATGAGGACCATGGGACCACAGAACCAAAAGATATGAAGCATTGTTCTGGGGGATGTCTCTGGCATCTCCAGAACTGCCTGGTGAGTGAAAGATTTGGTGCAGTGTAGTGGGACATCTGTACCAGAGGGTGAGAATCCTAAAGCGCCACTATAATTTACTAATGAAAACCATTATTTAAAAGTTACTACTTCTGAGAAGGAAGTCTATTGTTTTTCTTCAGGTTTCTGATCAAAGGTTTATAACTATTTCAAAAACACTTTCACTTTCATCAGCTCACACTGATGTGTGAAGTGTGTCATGACTTCTCTTAGATGTGTCAATTCCCTCTTAAGCCCGGAACATTATTATATAGCCTAATATTTTTAAACCGCAATTATGTATGTCAGAGAGAAAAACATTTTATTTAATTTAATCTCTTTGCTGTTCTACTCATACATTAGATACCGAAAAGTATTTTTACAAACATAAAGTAGATGTAAAATCTCACTGAATGACATCTAGTTTGATAAACACCATGAAACATAATCAGCTGACATTTTTAAATAAAATATACTTTCACCATTTTTTTTTTATCTTTTTCTTCTCATTGCTGCTGATTTCATGCAGCATTTTGTAGCCACTTCATGTCTGTGCACTACAGCAAATGCTGTACATCATTTCTCAGGGGCATGGGATTCTCACCTCGTAACAGGAAGTTCCCGAACAAGGAATTTCATGGTGGAATAATATGGTTTTTTTTTTAATGAAACCCTTAAAATTAGATTATTATGTTAACATTCACATTACATTTTAGTGATTGGGTTTACATAAAAAGGTTAGCACTTACACACCAAACTTTGTGATCAGAGGTTCACACTGTACTACACTCTTATGGTGGCCATATACGTAACAATCTGATCAGTTCTTCACAGAATGTGACAATATGATCAAATCTATGAATTATTGAAAAAACACTTTTATTTACATGGGGAAGATTGCATATCCATTGGTCCATGCGAATCTGCATGTACATTTACTGTCACATTGATGATTCTAACCAGTCATAATTGATCTGGTCCATGCTGGGAGTTCTGCATGGAAAAGTGGGAAAAGAGTAGGGATTTCAAATTCCTGGACCACTGAACCAGCTGCGAGGGTGTTAACAGCTTGACAACCCCAGAGGTAAGTATCGTGGGGACCTGGGGGGGGGGGGGGGGGAGGGTGTCGTTTACCTTTTACATTTTTTCTGTAAAAGTGAACAAACACTTTAACTAGTCTTCAGACCTAAAATGATTTTTAAACTGTATGCAAAAAGCGTAAAAAGTCTGTGGCAGCAAAAGGATTAGATTACAACATGGCTTGTGGTGTTGTTATTATTATTATGAATATTATTATGTATGTATTTTATATATATAAATATGTATATGTACACACACACACATACCCTCTGCAACATTTCCAAGTTATGCCCCTGCCTAACCAATAACACCACAAAGCTCCTAATTCACTCCCTGATTATCTCTCACCTCCACTACTGCAACTCCCTCATAATTGGCTTATCTTTACATAGACTATCCCCCCTCCAGTCCATCATGAATGCTGCCGCCAGACTCATCCACCTTACCAACCGCTCAGTGTCTGCTACCCCCCCTCTGCTGATCCCAAATCTGGCTTCTGCTCACCCAACAAATTAAATTCAAGATGTTAACAACAACTTACAAAGCCATCCACAACTCTACCCCCAGCTATAGCACTAACCTAGTTTCAAAATGCCAAACAAATTGTTCTCTTCTTTCCTCCCAAGACCTGTTCTCTAGCCCCATTGTCACCTACTCCCATGCTTGCCTCCAGGACTTCTCCAGAGCCTCTCCCATCCTCTACAACTCCCTACTCCAATCTGTCCGACTATCTCCTACTCTGTCCACTTTTAGACGATCCCTGAAAACTCATCTCTTCAGAAAGACCTATCCTGCCCCCACCTAACAACTGTATATTTATTCTCTCCATCAGTTCATTACCCACAGGTATTACATAGTTAGTCTGGCTGAAAAAAGACAAAAGTCCATCCAGTTCAACCAAAAAATAAAAAGTTATAATCCTATACCACAATTAATCCAGAGGAAGGCAAAAAAACCCAGCAAAGCATGATCCTATTTGCTCCTGCTGGGGAAAAAATTCCTTCCTGATCCCCCGAGAGGCAATAGGATATTCCCTGGCTATTCAACTTTACCTATAAATGTTAGTATCCAGTTATATTCTGTGTATCTAAGAAACAATCCAGGCCTTTTTTAAAGCAATCCACTGAGCTGGCCAGAACCAACTCTTGAGGGAGTCTATTCCACATTTATAGTTACATAGTTAGAATTACCGTTTGTATCTGTTGACCCTCCCTTTTAGATTGTAAGCTCTAATGAGCATGGCCCTCTGATTCCTACTGTATTAAATTGTATTGTAATTGTACTGTCTGTACCTTACGTTGTACAGCACCGCGTTAACTGTTGGTGCTATATAAATTCTGAATATTAATAATAATAATTTATTATATTTTTCCACAAAAATGGAGTTACCCTTTAAATGTGTGGCGTATCAGCTGATCTTTGAGATCTGATATTTTTTCTCGGATAACATGTAGATTATTATTATTATACAGTATTTTTATAGCGCCAACAGTTTTCTCAGCGCTGTACATTACAATGGAGACAGTATATGAGACAGTACAGTAACAATACAATACAGGAGGGGTTCGAGGGCCCTGCTCCTTGGAGCTTACAATCTAGGAGGGAGGGGAGAGTGGTACAGGAGGAAATAGCTGTGGGGGATGGAGTGGTGGGGAGAGCGGAGGAGATCAGAAATTAGCTGAGGGCAGGGTAGGCTTCTCTAAAGAGATGGGTTTTTCAGGGTGCGCCTAAAGGTGAGGAGGGTAGGTGACAGTCTGATGGATTGGGGTAGTGAGTTCCAGAGGATGGGGGAAGCCCTGGAGAAGTCCTGGAGATGGGCGTGGGAGGAGGAGACCAGGGAACTGGAGAGTAGGAGGTCTTGTGAGGAGCGGAGAGTACGTTTTGGGTGGTAGATGGATATCTGATGTAGTTTTGGGCAGTGTTATGAACAGCTTTGTACGCCAGTGTTAATATTAATAATAATTCTATAATAATAATTCAGAACATGTATTCACCCTTTGAGGACCAAGGGACGTATTTGTCCCATGTTTTTAATTGCGTGTATCATCTGATTAAGAACTTAACTTTTTTTTTGGTTTGAGTCAAAATTTTAGTTCTTATCAACAAACAAATGGATCTAGCTTTTTGCCAATTATTTCATGAAATGGCTTAGTTACAGCAACTGAAGTGTACGAACTTTAAAAACCAAAAAATTGATTCTTTTGGCGTTCCAAAATCTTACGGTCCTCAAAGGGTTAAAGCACCACTGAGCAGATGTGTGTGCAAACGTGGTACTGCTCACATCAAGTGCACTGGAAACTGCAATAGCAAATGATTCCAACAAAAGGGATGCAAGTCTAGTGCCTAGCTTAGTGGTCTCCAATCTGCAGCCCCTTGCTTGCTTTTATCCGACCCTTAGGATGCGATTTCACACAATCATACAATCGTATGAAAAAATTGTTCTGTGTATGGCCACAATTTACAGAAAATAATGCCACAGAAGGTGTCTTTACAGATTGTCTCCAGTCATTTGTATACGGGGGAAGCAGGCAGATGTTTTCTTTTAAGTCACAAAGCCTTTTCCTGTATCCGGCAATAGAGCAGAGCAGCCAGTGTAACCAGTCTCTGTGTCTGACCATCTGCTTCTGACAGGTTTAGCATGTAACTGGCCAGCTTGAAGAATGACTATTGTATTAGGTATGTTAATTGTAATCCCTGAACAGGGGAATGGCTGGGACAATCCTGTGCAATCTCCAGGGTGTATTCCTCTAAGACACTTCCCTGCAGGGATGCAACACTTCCTAGAGATGTTTAATGGACATGTTCATGTTGTGCGGGTTAAACCGTCAAATCACTGCTATTAACATTCAACGTGTATTTGTCACACCCCTGCTGTACACAGTGAAGTAGATTGCTCTGATGATGTCGATACTAAGCCTGTAACTTCCTTGTAGAAGCCGGTGTGACAGTGGGAGGAGAGACTGCAGGCGAGCTGACTGAAATGGGGAATACTCAGAAAAAGTTTACAAAGAGACCCTTTGAAAAGCAGGAGGAGGCCGATCAGACCCCCAAGCACAACAAGGCTAGCAATCAGAATGGAGTAAAGAACGACAACAGCAATCTACAGGCGAAGGATCCTCCCGAATACAAGGCGAAGCCTGGACATGGCAGCACACAAGCCCCTACCACTGAGGTCACATCCCAGACTGGCAGCCAGGAAGCCAAGCTGTCATCCGAGCTCCTTTCTCCATCAGCAAGGCTGAAAGCCGAAGGCAACCAGCTTTTTAAGAATGGCCAGTTTGGGGAGGCCGCCGTCAAATACGCCGAGGCAATTGAAAATCTCAAGAACACAGGTCAGTTCTGTCTGCATTACTGGTAATCTCCAATGACAGCCATTGAATGTGACAGGTGAAACTGTAAATGACGAGCCATGCAGTGCTTATCAAAAATAAAAATGCATTTCAGGGAACCGCTGATTGTTTCTTTTGAGCTGAATGTGTTTAATTGTCAGTTTTAGCACTGTGGCTGCATAGTATTAGTGCTGCACTACCTGCCTTGTGGATACTGCAGTGGCAGCAGATTGTGCTGCAGTGCTGGCTTTCCCTTGTCTAGATACCAATGCATCTCTAATACTTCAGGAGCTGAGGACGCTGAGGAGCTGGGGATCATCTACTCTAACAGAGCCGCCTGTCACCTCAAGGATGGGAACAGCTTACAGTGCATTGAAGACTGCAACAAGTAAGTCAGAGATGACATACTTTACTGACAGCTGCATTCAAAATGGTGTTATTGTTGTATTTTAACCAAAACATTTATTATTTTGCAGTTTACCAGTTCTTAGACGTGGTGGCTGCATTCATTTTCTTTTTTTGGCTTTTTTTTCTTATATTTTCATATGGTGATCTGGCCAGTAAGTCTGTTGTTTTTCAACAGGACAAGCTGTCCTGCAGATGTAGCAGTTAGAGAGTTGTGCTGATGTAGCAGTTAGAGAGTTGTGCTGATGTAGCAGTTAGAGGGTTTAGTCAAACCATATTACCAGGGGTGCTTACAGTGGTCAGCTTTTATTTGTTTACGTAAAATCTTAAAAGTAACTGTATGCAACCTTATGTAAATCCCAAAACGAACAAAGCTGTTGCTGTAACTGCTTAAAAAGTGTTAGCTGGAGTTTGGTTTCAATTTGTTTAGTGTATCTAAATCTGCTAATGCATCTAACACTTTCCTCCCTCCAGACTGACAATGCTGCTGTCTAAAGATGTCTCAGTTGCACCTCCATCCAGAAAGGAGAGCACTCTAAGGCCCCTTTTACACGGACGTTCCGATCAGGTCTGCCTATCTGTTTTTCAGGGGGACATGATCAGAACCTTCATTGTCCTCTATGGAGTGGCGGGTGTAAACTGGCATGTGTCCATTTACATCCACCTACATCCAATCGGATCCACCAAAAACTGACAGATCGCGATCCGTTCCTCTGCTGTCCAGTAGATCGCATGGCAGTCGGGTGTAAATGGACTCCCATAGAGGAGAGCGGGCTGTGTCTATGTCCGTTCTGCATAAACTGACCTATCATCTACCTGCTCAGAGGGGATCAACGGACAGATCACCTGCTGAGCAAGTAGATCACAGCCGGAGTCCGCCCTGTGTGAAAGGGGCCTAATACTGGAGGTGATTTACTGGCCAGTTGACCAAGTGAAAACAAAGGGAAAAAAAGTGTAAAAAAAGAAAACAAATAATACAGTCACCACATCTAATGAATGTTAAGCTGCCATAGATTACATTTTTTGTTTTATATTTAATAGCATTTTATAGAAGTAATCCAATAATTCTGGCTGGAGACATCAGATCTAGGCAAGTGTATTGGTGTAATTTGCACTGCAGGCCTTCCATTCATAGATTTGGATGCTGTGTGTCTGCACAGTAGCTGCTGGGCCTATAGACATCTACAAGGATTTCTTTGGCACCCATAGAGATTGCAGAGGCATGCAGTGACTGAACTTGACAGTTTCATTTCACTGCCCCAGCCTGATTCCCAGGCTATGGATTGATGGATTATTCTGTAAATGTTTTAGTTTGAGTAGATCCTGGCAAGAGAAGTCACCATTAACTTCATAAACCTCTTGTGGTAGTGAAATCTCTGCTCCATAGTTTCCAACTTTGAAGGGTCTCACTATGTCTGCTAGATGTTTTAGGTATTTTACAATAGATAGTGCAGCAGGAAGAGGTAGACTGCATTATTGGAGGCAGAGCTGGAAATCCCTGCAGAGACCTTCCAAAAAGGAAAGCTAGGGGTATTTAGATTCTAAGTATCCATCCATAGCTGACATTACAGTTTTCGGTGGATCGACCTTTTAATTGTTTGCGGTTTTTCAAAGACACAGAGCTTCATGTGTAGTCAAAGCCTTTAGATGGTATGTGCTCAGGGATAGCAAAGGTCAGGCCTGACAGTAGAACAGGAATTCTTTGAATTCAATCACATTACCGTATGCTGACATATATGGAGAGATCTTTTGTCTAATATAAAGCTCCAATATTTATCCAAATAACACACAGAAGCCTTCAATGGGATTTATGGGCAGATTTTAGATTAACAGTAAAAAATAAAATATATGCAAACACCTTAAATCCATAAATAACGCCACAGTCAATTTTATGCCAGGTTTGGCATTTGCATGTTGATTTATAAAAATTGGAGCAAGGGTATTAATCTTAAGGGGTATTGATTGTTGTTCCATGCCATTTACAGTGACAAAATCCAGTTGTTTGGCCCTTTACCAATAACAACTTGATAAGAAAAATGTTATTTAGCAAGAAACACACATTCCACATTAATGATTATGCTGCCAACATTGATGTATGCTGTAAATTGTCTCCAGCATTGTTCTTGTTTCTTCTTGCCAGAGACTACCATTTTGCTGAGGCCCAGAGCCCCTTAGCAGCAGTAAATCTTTAGGCTGTTAGCAGATCAGCCTCCACAAATTCAGCACAGTGCCAAAAGCAACTGAGAGCAACTGAGCATGTGCAGAGTAGGATGAGCTAGTGTATTACTGAATTTTAAACAACTGAGACACTTATTTTTAGTGTTTTACATAGCTATACCTGCAGAAGGGGCCAGTATGAAATGATCTAGCAGGACGTAATTTTCTGACTAAAGTTCCACTTTAATAGAGGCAGAACTTTCCCCTCACTAGATATGGCATTTATATACAACTGGCATGCTAAATGCCCTTAAAAACAAATAGACAGTCTACGTTTTATTCTGCAAGATAATTGAACAGGCACTCAGAAAGGTGTCTGCCAAAATAACCTGTACTCCCCCCCCTCCCCCATTAGATGGTTTTCATATGAAGAGCTGCTATTAAGCAATTATGGAAATAACAAAGTCATTTAAGTGATATTTGTTGGTGCTTGGCACATGTGATCTTGCACACTGCAATACATTATTGCAAAGAACTGTGACATTACCATACTGTATATGCTTGCAAAATCACAGTGACTGTAAAAGCCTAGCCATATACTTCAAATAGTTTTATAGTCAAAATGATTTTTATCTTAACACAGATGGAAAAAAAAACTTCCAATTCTGCCCACAACCCCCCTCCCCAACACTAACTTCAGTCCTTTCTCAATCCAGTGCTACTCCATAGTGCTGCTGCTTTGTCTTCCTGCTGTCACAGGACACACTGAGACCAGCGAGAGCCATTGGCTCCTGCTGCTGGCAATCAAATCCTGTGAGGAGGGAGTGGGGGCGTGGCTGAGCCATGCTGTATGTGTCTATGGACACTGCTTGCTATGGGAGCACAAGCAGGAGAGGCGGAGCGGACAGCTGGGGAGGGGGACTGCAGAAGAAGAGATAAGAGACCTCTTAGTTCAGTATCCTTGCACAGAGCAGGTATGTATAACCTCTTTTTTGTTTTGAAAAAAAAAACAAGTTTCTACTCACTTTAACCTGCTGGGATGGAGGAGAAAAAAAGTGAACCTGGGGAACAAGTGTCTCTGAATCCCCATCAGGCTCCGCTCACTGTCAATAGCACTGCTTGCAAGGGGGCTGTCAACTGTGAAGCTGATAGTGTCCTTGACAGCCACTGGCAGGAGGGAAGGGTGATAGTGCTGGCAATCATACCATATTGTGATACTCTGTGTACAGAGACAGGCAGCCTGCCTGTCTTTGTATGCCGACTTACAGTTGGTCTTACGGTGGTATTAAACATACTAATAAAAAATCACTGACAGGTAGGGTTTTTTATGGCAGAAGAAACTCTTTCGGTTCCCTCTGTCATAAATGCTTCCTCCTGCTTGTTAGTGTTAATGTACACTGAGCCATTGTCAAGGTCCTACCTTTCTTCAGAGCTTGTGCATCTCCATGAGCTGGCATCCATCTTGGTTTTCTGCAAAGCATGGTGGGAACCTTTATGCCTTCAGGCTTCTGCGGCTCCTCCTCAGAAGGGTGTGGTTGAGCACATTTAAACCTGCTGTCTGCAAGTGTGCTCTGCACTTGTGTCCTGTATGTTGCCCTGTTGCAAGCTCTTGTGTTGTTCCCATTGCTCTCCTGGTAACTGACTCGGCTTGGACAAGACTACTCTCTGCATTAACCCTTTATCTGACCTCCCGTTGCTGAACCCGGCCCGTGACCTGAGTATTCTTTGCCTACCGTCTAGTACCGTCTGCTCCGTTGTTATTGACCCAGCTTGTCTGACTACTCTACTCGTGTTCCCATCTAGCTCCCACCAGCTGTACGCCATTGGCGGCAGTCGTTATTGCAGCTGGGGTCACTCGGGGGCCGCGACCTGGTCTCAGGCTGCGTCAAGTCCATCCCCACCATCAGGGGCCCTGGTGAAGGGTAGCCTGGGGCTTAGACTCCGCGCCCTGAGGGACTCTGGTCTGTGGGTAGTGGCTGTCGTCAGTCGCAGCGTGACCGTACCATAGGCCTGCCTGTCCATTCCAGCGTTCCTGCCCTGACAGCCATGCATGTGCAGCTCAGAGTACATTACGGCACATTTTCGGCGCACACCCCTTTTGAGAATGTACGTTTGGTATGAAATGCATTAAGGAGGAGCCCCCCGCACGCCGAGACGTCACGCTGCCGGGTCACGGAGGTCCAGCGGCCATCTTTATGACCAGCTGAACACTTAATCCCACAGGAACCCAAGGTGACCATCCCAGGGCCCAGAGGAGAGACACCTGTTGCAGACCCTCCCAGCAGACCTTAAGGGGACCTCTAGAAGTTATAGAAGAGGTAGTCCACTCCAGGCTGCACCTTTCCCAGAACAGAGGGAACCTCGGGCATATCTGACTTAAATGCGCATTTATATTGCGCCTCTGGTGAGTGTGCAATTTATCATTTCTTCCCGCACGTCACCGGATTACAGTTATCACTGGGATTAATAGAAGTCACCTATCGATACACCTATTGAATTTAATTTTGGAATAATTTTCACTATTGTGGGGACATTTACCACTCTTCCATATATATGGTTACATGGACATTATCTATATTCACATGCCGTAATAATTTTTATGTATAGTGACCATTCATATTGTGTGTTACAAATATTATTTTAGCTCTGCACTACATGTTTTTATACTGCACCTGCTCTGTACTGTGGTGGGTGTGACTCCTGTGCACATGCATGGGAGTGACATAATTGCGGTCAGGCGGATGAACCGGAAAAAAAGATTAGGTGAAGATGGAAGCACCCTCACACTGATAGCGCAGCGCTGGAGGGCTTCCTTTAAAAGATAAA